ACAGAATATTTAAAAATTTGAGGAAATACCACAGATCTGAGGCTTGAAAACGCAGTCATAAAAGGTTGCAACCAGTATAAATATCTAAGAAGCATCATATCAGCAGATGGTAGAGTTAAGATAGATCTACAAAACCGAATAACCCAAGTGAAAAAATGCATCCGAATACTGAATTCATTACTGTGGTCTAATAAAATAAAGATGCATACCAAACTTCATGTATACAGAGCAATTGTAGAACCGATTACCACATATGGTGCCGAATGTTGGACGATGACAAAGAATGAACGAGATAAAGTAGACGTTGTGGAAATATATTACCTTAGAAGGTCATGTCGAGTATCGAGAATGGAAAGAATCAGAAAGGAGGAAATACGAAACCGTACAGGAATTAGAGATACTCTTTCAGATAGAATACAAGGAAGGCAATTACAATGGTATAGTCACGTGATGAGAATGGAGGAGGAGCGGTGGCCAAAGAAAGCCTTAATGTATGTTCCGCCAGAAAGAAGGAAAAGGGGAAGACCACCAAATTCCTGGAGAAGAGAAATTACAAAAACAATGCAATCTAGAGGTTTAGAAGAGGGAGATTGGAGAGATAGGAAAAGATGGAGGCTGAAATGCGGGAAGCGGCAATCGCCGTAGGACCCCCGTTATATGATGGATGATAAAAAATGATTATTATTGTAATAATATATACATTTAAGAACTATACAACAAAAAGATTAATGTAAACATATAAAAAACTGTACAATATATTGTTGATATTACATGATGCTTTACGACGAAACGAAAATAGTTATAAAATAATTTTGTTTTTTTCGATTTAATCATCCGATGAGATAATTTCATTTTATGTTATTTTAAAATGGTAAGGACTGTATTTATCAATGACGTATAATAAATAACTCAGTGAATGTTGTAAAAAGTATAACAAACATGAATACCTCCATTTATGTTGTTGTTATGATATGACGTTACACGAAGTTCACGATTTTTTACGAAGTGACGTTGTGATTGCATATTTTAGGTAACAAACAAATTTTATTTTAAATTTTTGGGGGCCGTTTACTTAATATTTTAGTTAGTAGAATATCATTTAAGTGTCTTGTTTGTGGTCGCGGAAGTTCGAAAATCTAAGCATCACTTTTCAGGTGTCATTTTTTAATATTCTTTTAGAAAAATTAGGTTGTGTTGATAGTCCGTAACGGCGTTTTGTTTACTTTATAAACATAAATAATAAAATAAAGTATTATACATTATACTGAACAATTGCAATTAACTGTTTTGTTTTTTATTATTAAAATCATTTACATATAATTTTTCTACGTAGTCTTTTTTCATAGATTTCCTTTTCACAATGAAAAATGAACTCATTACAAGATAAACGAGCATGCCAGTGTTTTAGTAAATATTATATCTTTAATCAGGAATATATATATATATATATATATATATATATATATATATATATATAATATATATATATATATAATACAAAACATCTAAAAACCAACAAAAACCGCAACTTCATGTTAAAAGTAGAAAAGAAGAACTTTTCTTCTTTTTTGATGACAATGTTTTTTTATTTCTGTCAATATCAACTAGGTTATATTTACATCTGCACTCACTGTAACATGTATTCCTTGTACCCTGTCTGCACCTCATGTAATAACATGGAAGTTGGAAAAAATCTTTTAAAGAACCAAAATCCGCAGGGAAATGAAAACTGCTCTCAAGTCATCTGTATATGTTATGACAAGCTATCTCCATTCTTCAATCTGTTACATCTTGTCAAGTCCTGCTGAAGCAAAAAGAAATAAATACAACTTAAGTTTTAAACTTCTTTCTTACAGTTTATAGAAGAGCTGCAGTTATGGATGTAGCACATTTCTATGAAGTTTCTTTTAAATTGGTTATCAACCCTTTTTAGTACTTTCACATTTTCATAGTTAGCAATGTGTCCAGTATTCTTAATATGTTGGCTAAAAGCTGTACTAGAAGGCTTCCTCACAACATCACACATGTGCAGAGCTATTCTTTTTGAGAGTTACTGGCTGGTTTGACCGACACACACTTCTGAACAGGAACCACATGGAATAGAATACACTACATTGAAGTTATCCAGTTTTTTTAACTCTTTCTATCGGGTGAGTAAAGTTCTTTACTTTGTTCACCTGACAAAAAGAGTTAAAAAACTTCAATGTAGTGTATTCTATTCCATGTGGTTCCTGTTCGAAAGTGTATGTCGGTCAAACCAGCCAGAAACTCTCAAAAAGAATAGCTTTGCACAAGAGTGATGTTGTGAGTAAAGTTCTTTACTTTACTCACCTGACAGAAAGAGTTCAAAAAACTAGATAACTTCAATGTAGTGTATTCTATTCTATGTGGTTTGTGTTCGGAAGTGTATGTCGGTCAAACCAGCCAGAAACTCTCAAAAAGAATAGCTTTGCACAAGAGTGATGTTGTGAGTAAAGTTCTTTACTTTACTCACCTGACAGAAAGAGTTTAAAAAACTAGATAACTTCAATGTAGTGTATTCTATTCTATGTGGTTTGTGTTCGGAAGTGTATGTCGGTCAAACCAGCCAGAAACTCTCAAAAAGAATAGCTTTGCACAAGAGTGATGTTGTGAGTAAAGTTCTTTACTTTACTCACCTGACAGAAAGAGTTAAAAAAACTAGATAACTTCAATGTAGTGTATTCTATTCTATGTGGTTTGTGTTCGGAAGTGTATGTCGGTCAAACCAGCCAGAAACTCTCAAAAAGAATAGCTCTGCACAAGAGTGATGTTGTGAGGAAGCCAACTAGTACAGCTTTTAGATAACATATTAAGAAGACTGGACACATTGCTAACTATGAAAATGTGGAAGTACTAAACAAGGTTGACAACCAGTTTAAGAGAAACGTCATAGAAATGTGCTACATCCATAACTGCAGCTCTTCTAGGAACTGTAAGAAAGATATTGAAAACTTAAGTTGTATTATTCCTTTTTGCTTCAGCAGGACTTGACAAGATGTAACAGATTGGAGAATGGAGATAGCTTGTCGTAACATATACAGATGACCTACCTGCACTTGAGAACAGCCTTCATTTCCCTGCGGATTTTGGTTCTTTAAAAGATTTTTTCCAACTTCCATGTTATTACATAAGGTGCAGACAGGGTACAAGGAATACATGTCACCATGAGGTGCAGATGTATATAATATAAGCTAGTTGATATGGACAGAAATAAAAAAACATTGTCATCAAAAAAGAAGATAAATTCTTCTTTTCTACTTTTAACATGAAGTTGCGGTTTTCGTTGGTTTTTAGATGTTTTGTGTTATATTTGAAAAATACCCTTTTGTGTTGTAATGATTTTATTTAAAATTTTAAATGTATTTTTTAATATTTTTAACATATTTATGACAGTGTTCTTTACCACTAGGACCAACTGAACATTTTCAATGTAGGAAAATTTCACATTTAGAATAAAGTTCTACACCAAACTGTCTTATACCATCTCTAGCTGGTCCTTGTTTTAACGCTTTCCGAAAGTTACCTACCAAAGAATTGTATTCTTAGCGTCTATATATGTATATATACACTATATATACATATATATATATATATATATATATATATATATATATATATATACATATATATATATATATATATATATATATATATATATATATATATATATATATATATATATATATATATATCAAGTATAGAAGGCTGCGGGGTCTATTTATTCTACGTCATTGGTATTTATCATGATCTGTGATGCCGAGAATCCGTAAAAATATCATGTCGTTTGCAAAAAAACGGTAGAGCAGTTGAACGTTAACCTTTCTAATACCAGGGAGCAAATTTTCGCCCTAGCTTGCCTATTTCCGTTATTTTTTTATTTTTAGTATACTTACAAGGTTGGCCTCCAAGATAAAAAAAACATTGATGACTACTTGTACGCAGGACTTATTCATGATAGCTCAGAAATGTAGGACAATGTAGACACCATCATAGAAGAAAGAGATGTGACTACCAGATATTCCAATGACGATGAGGAAGTGATCAAGAACGACCTTTAAGATGTATGGTTTGGCAAAGATAAAAACTTTTAGATACAGAAAAATTTTCCAAAAATAATTATTGAGTCAACAAATTAAATTATAATTGCCGTAGAAGTTCACTATAGTCGATCAACATCCATAAGTATGACGAAGTTATTTAAATTTTCTAAATTTTTGATATTATTTTTATTGTCAACGAGACTGGTTTAAAGTAGACAATTACAATCAAGTTGGAAAGACGATAATTTAAAAAGACGTTGACAAAATTGAAATTTACACATTATTTTAAATTGTTGATCTGCACTGGTGTCCTGAAAATGAATCAGGAGCCTGCAAGAATTCTATGGGAAGAGAACCGTTGCTAAAAAAGTTCCAAATTCGACAACAATGCCACGGACCAGGTTTTCATAAATATCCAGCTGGACGTGTGTTGATGATAAAAATAATTCGATATACCGTAGACAAATCGATGAACTGGTACCTATTAGAAACGTGATAGAAATATTCCCAAAAGAAATTATCAAAAACACGATAATCTTGGTTCTCATCTTAACGTTAATGAACAGTGAGTGTCATTTCGTAGTATTGATATCCTTTTATAGTCACATGAAAAGCAAACCAGTAAAATATGGAATTATGATCTGGTGTCTTATATATGTTGAAACCGCTTATTGTAAGAATTTACATGAAGAAATAAGAAAAAGAAAAAATTGGAAAGCATTTCATTTTAATGTACTAAAACATCGCACAAAACTAGTGTTAAGTGAATTGCTATAGTAACAGAATAAAATTCGTGTTTGGAAAAATTTGAGAAAAAAAATCTATAGTCTATAAAGACATTAAAAATGTGCTGTACTTTTAATATTCACAAAAAGATAATATTTTGTCTTTCTATAGTTATCGTCTTTTCCTTGGTATAGTTGTATTCCTCTGACCTACCTGTTCGGTAGGTGAAACCGATGGCTCACTTTTGGATTCTATTGAAGACGTAGAGGAAGTTTCCGAACATTCTTCTTCTATTAGTGGCTCTAATGTCCTTCTAGGAAGAAGACCCCGCATAATAGCACCACTAATTGGAGGAGTCATCAGTAGTTCATCCATCATCAACTCAGTCTCGTCACCGTAATCAGAAGACATTGACCCATCATTGGGCTAAAAAAAAATTAAAGTTTATAAAAGTTGTATTACTAAAATATGTACCTAAAAGGTAAAAACAATGTATAAAGCTGTAAACCTTCAAAATACTCTTCAAGAAATGACCAGATTTGGAGTAGGTATAGTGAGAAAAAGTGAAATGATGTGGCCAAATGGTGTTTGTTTTGTTGACAACTATATGGTATACCATTTAGGAAATTATGATGGTCAATATATGTATGAGGTTGAAGTAATTGTATCTCCTCAATTACGTTAATATGTTCCAAATGCTATACCTGTTTCTAAAAGGATAATAATACATAATCCAACTGAATACTACTACGGTCAAATTAAATGTTTTACAACTGTATGCCCCAGCCAGCGATAAACCAAAAGAAGAGGTAAAAAAATTCTATGACTTGTTGATAAATTTACTAAAACAAATTAAAAAGAAGATATAACTATTATTCTGGTGACTTAGGAAAAATAATTTGCAATATTTAATTCGTTCTTCAAACTACTACCAAGACGTTTGTCTCTCCGCAAGATCAACCAGGAAACATAATACATAATCAAGTTTATTACATAAAAGTGAACACCAGTTTGGGCAAGGGTTGATATGAAGGTTAATTTTACTTGATCAGTACTGTGTTGAAAAAGACATTAAGGTATGTGTGCTGAAGTGGCATTATAATTCAAATCAACACACACTTTTAGTTTGCTACAGATCTCCTAAAGGTAAATTTGATGTATTTTATGAAAAACTTAACCATATTTTAAATTCAAATTTTAAAGCTAATCAATTCATATTTTTAACAGGCGATTTTAATGTAAATTCCATGACACTAAATAGTTCACACAGATTTTCTGGTCTTCTAGCATCTTATGGTTTGTCACCCAGGAACTTTACACCTACAAGGTCGACTTCCACATGCGGAAATATTTTGGATCAGGTATATACAAATTGTGATGATTGTGTAGGTACTGTAAATGTAAATACTGAATCGGATCACGATATATTCCTTTTAAGATTGAATTTTATTAATCTAACTATGACAACAGTTCGAAATACTTTCAGAGTAACACATGAAGGCGCTATAGATGCATTCAACAATCTCTTGAGTAAAGAAACATGGCAAGATGTTTATCATGCAACTGATGTTGAGAGTAAATATAATGCCTTTCATGATAAATTACAGTTCTATTTCAATATTAGTTGTCCTATTAGAGAAACCAAACATTACCAAAACAAAAAAAAATACATGGGTCACCCAAGAAGTAAAATCTTTTTCAGATAGTCTGAAAGATTTGTATATATTGAGTAAGACTTACCCTGAGCTAAAAACTCTACATAGACAAAAAAATATCAGCACAAAGTTCTTGTTGAGGCCACAAAGGGTCAATTTTATTTTAACAAAATCTCTAAATCCTCTAACAAAAACAAAACCACATGGGCTGTTATAAATGAATTTAATGGAAAACAAAAAAATCACAAAAATATCTGTCTAAAAATAGATGATACTAGGATTACAGATTCAGATATAATATCAATCAAATTTAATGATTACTTTATAGATGCACCAGTGGATATAATTAGTAAAATAATTAAACCAAATTTAAATTTTCAGCATTCCAATGATTTTGTTCAAAGTAGTTTGTTTCTATCTTATGTAACAAGGAAGATGTCTTAGATATAATAAAATATAAAATTAAAAACAAAGCATCGTGTGATTTTGATGAAATATCAGGTATAGTAATTAAGAAAATTGCGTCTCAAATTTTGACACCACTGACTCACATTATAAATGCTTCTTTCAATACTGGTGTTTTTTCCAATATGCTGAAAACTTCTATCATTTCACCGATATTAAAACAAGGTGATCCTGAATTGATGTCAAATTTTCGACCATTGTCTGTTTCATCTGTGATATCTAAGATTATTGAATATGCAATACTAAAACAACTTTTATTATTTTTAGATATCAACCAAATTATCACAAAGCATCAACATAGATTTCGAAATAAATTTTTTACTTCTACAGCCATTAACAGTTTTTATGAGGAAGTCTTACTCTCAATTGAGAACAGTGAAAATCCAACTGCCATTTTTTGTGATCTCAGTCTTGCATTTGATTGTGTGCAACACGATGTGCTCCTCGATAGATTGTACAGATATGGTGTTAGGGGAGTTGCCCATAGTTAGTTTGTTTCCTATCTGAAAGACCGGCACCAAATGGTTAAAGTGAAAAATAACTTCAAGATTTCAATGTCTGATCCGATTATTAATAAGAATGGAGTACCACAGGGCTCAATATTGAGCCCTATATTATTTATTTTATATATTAATGAACTACCACATGTAATGCCTGATGCATTTGTATCAGTTTATGCGGATGACTCAACAATGCTATATCGCGATAAAGACATAAATTTTTTACAAGATAAAATAACAATCTCTCTGAAGACCTTCTCTGATTGGTCCAGTAATCAGTCGCTCCTGTTCAATGTTCACAAAACTAAATTTTTATCATTTACATCACGTTCAAATTCAACTAATCCTGATTTAAGTATTTCCATCAATGGTGAGGATATTTTGAGTTGTAGTGATGTGAAGTTTTTAGGAGTGACTTTCGACTCTCATTTATCTTTTAAGACTCATTGTTGGAATGTATGTAAAAAACTCAATTCTAAATGTTATCAATTGAGAAATTTGGGTAGAATACTTAGTCTGCAACACCTTCGTCTTTTTTATTTTGCTGAGGTACAATCGACAATAAGTTACGGTATAAATGTCTGGGGTGGTTCTTCTAGTGTAAAGGACGTTTTCAAGGCCCAAAAGCGTATTGTCATATGTATAGCAGGTGTTCCGTATGGTTGGTCTTGTAAAAACCTATTTAGAGATTTGAATATATTAACAGTGTATGGAATTTACATTTTGGAATTATTGATACTAATTCATAAAAATAAAAGAACTTTTTTATGTAACAGTGATATTCATTCACACAACACAAGAAATAACAGACAGTTTGCAGTACCCTATCGACATCTAGAAATAAGCAGGAAGTCATCTACTATCTGTGGTTTACTACTGTATAATCAACTTCCTCAAAATTTTAAAAACATTAATTCAACTACAGCGTTTAAAACCCAAGTCAAAGAATACCTAGTGACCAGTCCTTATACATTAGGTGAATATTACGAGGGTTTATCTGTGAATGCCTGAGCTGCAACATAACCAAATTTATTAATATTTTAATTATATGTCTATATTGTACGTTTTTTAAGTATTTTAATGTTTTAAATATTTTTAATATATTGTTTCCATTTTTTGTAATATTTAATATTTATAATTTTAGTTTTGACTTGCTGTAAACCTAGTTGTAACTTACAGTCAAATAAACTATCTATCTATCTATCTATCTATCTAACCAGATTCGGTAATGGATGCCTATCAGTTAAAAGTTACCCCGGTGCTGACATATCGTCAGATCATGTTTTTGTTATAGGTTGAGATTTAAAAAGGTCAAAACATACAGTCGCACGGATTATTTCAGAAAATCTAAATAACATGAAGCAAACATATGATCCAAAAATATTACTTCAGAATATATGTAAAGCCTTAAACAAGATAAGAGAATATCTATACAAAGATACAAAAAAAAATCAAAAATGGCAAAAGAATGTACAGAAATATTCATAGACAAATAAGAACCTAAATACGAAAGGCCAAAGAAAATTGGTTAAAAAAACAATGTGGAGAGATACAGTTTTTGGAATTAAAACACGATACAGTTAATATGTATAAAAGGGTAAAACAAGTAGCTGGTCTTCAAAAATCCATTACAGCTAGAAAACTGTAATATCACCAGGGGAACATCATGACAGATAAAACTTAAGAAATATGCATATGGACCAAATATATACAAGAATTCTTTGATGATAATAGGTGCTTACAACCTCCGTCCGACATATAAGTAAGAATCAATTACCAAACACATCAGATGAAGTGAAAAAAGCAATATCACTACCAACTAAAAAAGATGGCAATGCTCCTGAACTTAACAATGCATATGCTGAACTGATAAAGCTATTAATGACATATGCTTAAAAGGAGTAATACCAAAATCATAGCTAAAGTCAACGTTTATCGCTCTACTAAAAAAAAATCAAAATTCGTAGTCTGTAATGGTTTCTGAACCATCATCTTAATGAGCCACATTTCAAAGTAATTTCTAAAATAGGTAAAGAAATAATAAATATAATAAGATATAAAAAATAAATAAAAAATAAAAAAAAAAAAATTTACCACTAAAATCTAATAGATACAACATAAAAAACTCATTGTGCCCAAGACTATGATGTAGTGCAATAAAGTCCTTCCCCCTTTTAAATTCAATGTTTGTTTCGTCCCTTCTAAGTGTTTTCTATTTTAGTGTGTTTAAATTATCCTTAATTGTTTGTATTTTAACATTTTATTTACTTGACTATTCCAATAATTAACTCATTGCCAATAGAACTTTATCAAAGTAATTTGATAACTACAAGTTGTGAAAATAATTGCACACCCACACAATCTTTACATCTACACCTATTCATTGTCATAAAACGGTCACCTTCAAAAAAACAATTACTCAATAAATAACACACATTTCAAAAATATATCTCTGGAATAAGTATAAATAGCCTTTAATAACACAATAGTATATTACATCACTTACATTTAACAAACAATCTCACACATATCTCTAATTCATTGGATCAAATCTATCTCCTCAAGAACTTCCCGTTTACTGTCAAACAACTGCAGTGATAGAATTGAGTTCTCCATTCAACAATACAAAGTAGTTTCAACCATGTTCTACCATCCATCTATTAATAGAGTACCGGCATCATTTGTTTAACTTTGTATCGAGACCTGAGGATGCTTTGCATATTGTAGAAAGCGAAACCGGTCGTCTGATTAAATAAAGTTAAATTAAATTGATTGTGAGAAAGTCTTATTTATTATTTCTTTACCT